ATGTTATATGTAGCAGGGAATTGTAGAGGGGCATATTTATGCATGCCTCGTAGCCATGTGTTGAAGTACAAATGACATTTGCCCAAAATTGTGTGTGCTTTCATGTGAACTGTGCCCTCTGCAAATTTGCAGAGGGTCGCCTGAAATTTGTTTTTGATCGGCAATTCCGGCATCCCTCCGTCTTATTTGTAGACAGCAAGTATCACTATAAGGAGGGTAGAAGAGCACTGGGCTGAGTGACATGCATAATTTGGCAATGAATTCCCTAACAATTGCTAACATTAAACATGTTGCTGCAACAGGAAAAGCCCAACATGTTCTAGCATTAGTATTGTTTACTGCAGGAATGAAAAGAATTATGATCATGGTATGTTTAAATCATCAAAACAAAAACTGTAGTTCATGTCCAAGACGGAGTAGATAATGATTTGTTGTTAAAATAAAAGAAAAATTGCAAATTACCATTAATTAGATTATAGTCCTATAAAGTATCAATTTTCTACAGCTACGTGTACAATACTTGTACATGTAGATAGATATATTTCATAAGCTACTTTTTATAGGTAGTTAGCGATGGTTTCTTGAGAATTTGTTGATTTTGTTTAGAATGTTGTCAAAACTGCTGCAATGATTAATGATAGATTACTCATATATATTATATAATTATTTCAATGCTAATTTGATGAGAGATGTTCCTGATGAAGGACACCCCCTCCTGCCTACAGACAGGCAAACCAAGAGACTGAAAGGCCACCCTGGCCTGCCTGCATTCATCTGGCTGGCGAGTGACGTCTAGATCTTGTGTACTGACTGCAAGATGAATGTACCTATGAGCTAATAGGCATGTTGACATTTGGTAGCGCTTAAATCTCATCTTAGGCAGATTGATATTAGGCAAGGCCCATGTCATCATTTTTACTCTGCTATTAGATGAGATTACGGCATCTTTACATGCACAGTTTTCATTTTAATGCTCCTCCGTGATTACACTCTACCTAATCTTCTCCATCCTTTCCTAGCAAGGTGCTATAAAATAATCAATGTCAACTTTGAATTATAACATAGCTTCTGAGATCCTTTTCTTTTTTATCTGGTTAAGGCATATCTTTGTACAAAACGTAGTTATTACTAAAGATTTGCAATTTTGTTCCTGAATTTTATGTGTAAACATGATTTCAAGGACTGCATGTCTGTCAGTGATGAAAATGAAATCATTCTTACATGCATCAACAATCTGCAAAAGATTTCCCACGTAACAATGTCTATTTGCATGATATACTTTGTATGGAATTGTTTGTGCCAAGTGCCTACCAACTTCACAATCAATGCATTTGAATGAAAATGAATGATTAATTACCAAATGATATTTAGTCCTCTATGTTTGGTGTAGTTTGCTTCTTCAATAAATGCATATTTGTTCAGTATGTTCAAGATAAATATCTGCAGTGGACTGAAAAGACTAAAGTGCAAGGTTACAATCTTGAAAGGGATTTATGAAAACCACTATTCCCTCTTGAACAAAGATTTTTAAACTGTTCAATGAATGTGGTAATGCCAAGTTTCCTTCAGACATCAAAACAATGTTATATCCATGAATTCAAAGGGTGTGATTTTAAAGTAAACAATCAATATTTTATATAATTTCTAGGTTTTTCCCATTTGCTGTAGAAATTATTGAAAGAAAAGGGATAGATTTTAAAAGTTGGATCACCTAATATGCATTGAAAGAGCTGGGCCTCTATTATTTCAATAAGATTACTTATTATACTAATTACATAATTTTCTTTGGACTTATTCATATGTTTGCCTTGAGTTTTATTTAATCTTTTATGTATTCCATTCCAGCCAGTCGCCATTTTGTAAGCACACTTGCTCGTTCAACCACATGTTTTGAGTGGTAATTCTTCACTTGTGTGTGTCTGATGATTATTGACAGCCAATTAATTTGTCCTTTTATTATTATGAGGTTTGCTTGTTTAATTATGTATATGCATGTATAATGTACAATGTGCACATGCCTATTGGAAACTGCCCATATTGCTAGTATTAGCATTTTATGTCTGAATAACATGAAACAAACACCTGGACATTTTAGAAATAGGATTCTGGTTCTAGCGTACATTTCTGCCTGGTTTGAATTGTTTAAAGTCCACTCTGTTAAATTCTCATTACCGGTATACATTACAAGGGAATCTGTTTGAAATGAATCAGGGCATGTGTAACTGCCATGCATAATAATATCATCTAATAGTAAAGAGGTGTGAATTCAAATTGTACCACTAAAGTCCACTATTTACCTAAACATGACCCACTTCATTATCATGCATCTGTGAATTTCCTACCATGCACTACAAAGCTATGTATGTGTGTGTGCCGGCCGTAATTATAAAGGCGCAAAAGCATTTAATCAATTCCCTAGGGGACCACGTTGAATTAAAATTGGATCAATTAACGCTATGAGGACCATAGTATATGTATGTAATGACATAGGAATATGGATACTATTGACTGCCCTGTAGTATAATTGTATTTGATTTGCCTTGGTCTAAATGAGTCTGTTGACATACAATTGGCAGTGAAGAGGTCAAAGGGCTCGATCTCATTGTTATTGACAATGAGTCACATAAATGGCCCATCACACCTACATGTCGTGTGGGCTGTGGGTATGTACATCATCTGTCATTACTATTCTCTACACACAACCTACAGCAGTTTGACGAACCGATGTTTCATGGGTGTGGGTATATTCCTGTTCAGACCGTCACCCTGCAATACTGAAGCCACATTGTACTTATGAATTTTGGACACAGGCTTTCTTTCAATAAGACACTTAAGATTTCAATGAATCTCCCCTCATTCATCTTATTCTTCCAATGCTACTAGAACTAGAACACACAGTTCTTTTAGGATTTCTGTAGTAGATGCTACAATTTTGGTTGATTTTGTTTCAAGTTTCCAGACATCTTTCAGAGCTTTCTAGGGCTAAATTGCTCACCGCTCTTTAATGTTTTTTCATTGTCACTTCAAAATTTCATGTTTGTGTTTTATACACAAGGAAATATTTTTTAAAAAGAACTTGAGAAGTGTCTTTTAGATGTAAACTTAGTGGTCAAATCAGAACTTTGGAATATGGTGTCAAAAATGATAGCAGGATTAAACATATTCTAATCATAGCCTACAGCTAGAAAACCAATTATGCCTTGAGATTTTCACAAAATACGAAATATGAACAATCTTTTTTTGTTTTTTTAGGACCAAGGTTTAATGTGTTTTAATTTCATTGTGGTAAGCTCATTCTCAGAAGGATAGAAATTCTGTTTCTTGCCAAAAGTGTCAAAATGGTGCAAATCATCTCTTCATTCACATAAAAGAGAAGTTATCATAGCCTGCTTGGTCACTTGTTTTTAAGCATTGAATCAAGCCAAGAATATGCAGTAAACACACGCTCTTCGTAGACCTCGTGCCACATATCAGAAATTCAGGGGGGAAGGGGAAAAGACAAAATATGAGAGGGGAAACCCTTTGCTCACCTTACTGATTTAAGATGATGAGTCATGCTAGAGCTGAGGCCTATCCCTCAGGGAAAGGGGTAGAGGACATGAATGAAATCTTTTACCTCAAATGTATTAGCACATTCAGTCCATTGGATGATTAAAGAAATTGTGCAGATTTTCTCTAAAGCCTACGCATATGATTTTCTGTTGTATGTTGGCAGACCCTCAAAGTTTGACAGTCAAAAGGTCAGGAAAATGCCATGAGATATGTCTGAATGGAATGAAAGTTTGATGAAAATACCAAGATACAGAACATATCACAGTAATATGAGCAACCATCATTCTCAATGAAGGGCAACTGTCCAATTATGCTTGACATATAGAAACTCCGGTAGAGAATTTAGAATTTCATTCGCATCGATTCGAAATCTCATGAATATGAGTAGAAGCATTGGGAGTATAGTAACACACTGTCATTTCTCATGGCATGTTAAAGGACATGTCTTCAAATTCCTGAGATGAGAAATAAAGCAATTGCAGAGCATGGCACATATGCAATATTTTGTCAAGTGTTCTTCATTGATTGCTCTAAATCTTACTGAGGTCTTGTTTCTGCCTCCCGGGCCGTTTCAATCACCCAGAGATTCGATCACCTTTGAAGCATGAACATTCAGGGCATAATCGATACAGAGATCACTGGGGATGTATGATACCCTGCTGTCGACTTTGTTTTCCTGTCTTTCAGATTCATATCCAGAATTTGTTAACCCTTTCACTTTGAAAAGAAGGCAGGGGATCCAGACCATGCAGGGAGAATTAGTGAAAGTAAATGATAAATGAAGTACGCAGGGATAATTACATTTGATTGATTTGAGGTGTTATTGTCTTCTTGAAGTTGTTTTAATCGCTCTATGGTTAGAGCATATGCTGGTACATGCCTTTTGATTACCTTGCCACAGCATCTGACCTGATGAGATCAAAAGGTCATTGGTTGAGACTATAAAGCTTTAGTGCCTTTATCATTAGGATATTACATCTCCAGGTGAAATCGACCCTTTGATAAATCACTTTAAGTCCATAGTGCATTAGTACTACTAGGCACTTGATTGACTTTGGGTTATAGGCATAATCACAGGATTATTATATTCATGCCAGAATTGCCAGTTTCTTTCCAAGTGCAAGTGCTTTATTGATTGATTTATTTATTAAGTTTTCATAATAGTCTACATTAGAATATTGCAATATTTTATGCATATTTAAGATACACTATCATAAGTTGATAAAGGTAAGTATATGTCAATCAGAAATGTGAAAGACTGGTAAAATTACAGGTACTTACACAGAAATACTGATAAGTAGAAGCAGTATCAATAACTAACCAAATCACAAAGTAATGCATAACAGAAAATATGTTAATTTCATTCATGGCAGTGTTATTTTCTCCTATTTGCTGTATTCATAGCTTGAAAAACTGACTAATTTCATTTTCCTTTTGTATCTCAACAGGTGTACAGAGAAGTTAAAATTATGAAATTACTAGACCATCCAAATATAGGTAAGTACATAAAATTCCTACTGTCTCGATAACGATATTCATTGCATAATGTTCATGCATTAGAGATAGTTACTGTTTGATGTATCATACACTGTCAACCGATAGAATCATTGTGCTCTCAAGTTAGTATTGAAGGAGTTTATTTCCTCTCTTCACTTCTATCATGAGAGCCAGAAAGGTACCAACTCTTTTTAACAGTATAGTGTCAATCAATTTCCTTCTCAACTGGAGATTGGAAATAATAATGTGCAGTTAACTTACCTCACAAATAAGCTTGTCCCTATCTAATCCATGCATAAAGCTTGATCACATCTATTATTATGAAATCTAGTATGCAGGAAGCACCATGGTTATTTGAGGATCCCATCTAAATGAGTTACCATCATGGTTTATTAAGGTGATGACATCACCTCCATATTGTCTCCATGGTAACCAAGCTTAGCCATTACCAAGGCATCATCTCACCATGGTTACAGTAAGATTAGTGATTAGTCATTGATCGGTTAGAAACAAACTTAATGTACCCTAAGGACTTTTGGTGCTGTTTGTTAGCTGGATTTTCTCCTCTCCTTCATTCTTCTCTCCTTCATTCTTCTCTTAGCTCACCTTTCATGATTAATTGTTTTTCTATCCATAAATAGTTTTCAATCGTTACCATAATTTCAAAGAGTGCCATTTTATTTATAACTCTCTTTTCTCAAGCTCTAGTACTGCTTCCAATTTATCAAATGCAACATCTAAAATACAACATCTAAAAAGGGCTTGGTATAAACTAATCAAGTCATTCTTCATCCTCATGGATGTTCTTCTCTGCATGTAATAAAATATAACTCAAAAGCATTCTGGATGCCATAACATGTTATTGCCTGTATTTCAGATGATTGTTGATAGGAATTTATTTTAAAAAAAATAGAATTTAATTTTTGGCAAACATGAGTTTAATATTAGATAGAACTTCAAGCTATCATGTTATTTACAAATCACCCATCTGGTTTTCAAAAAATGATAATAACATAATTGTTATTTTCGCTATTAGTTGTTGTATAATGCAATATTTGTATTTTTAAAAAATCATAAAAGATGGAATTATTCTATTTTCAAAAAGTTGAGTCACTTTAACAAGTACACAGCACATATTGAATCTCTTTGTCTTTTCATCCCTGTAAAATGGGTAAGCAGTGGATTTCAAGTAAATATGTAGCTGTAGAAGTTAATCAACACAAGCATGCTGAATTTATTTGGGACCATCACTATAAATCGCCTTTGGAGTAGGATAAAGTTACATATAATATACAAAGAGAATAATGTAGAGATTGTCCACAGCCTGAAACTGTTGTGTGGGTGATGATATTTAGGATGGTGATCAGATGATAGTACACATATGGATTTCTTTAAGCCAGTCTCAGAGAGAATTAAGATCAGTATATTGTATCCATAGAGGATAAAACAGGAAAATTTCCACTCCAAGTATGAATTTATTAAAGTTTATGCAAAATTGGATAGAGCTTTGATAAAAATGTTGAGAATCATAATTATGTAATGTTCTTGCCTGGGAGTATCTCTTTACTGATAATCCCTACACATTCTTCCAGTATATTGCAAGTGTAAAAGGATTTATTGACTTCATACATGTCTCATAGTAGTCATGTATTCAAAGATAAATCCAATCCTTGTAATAAGCTCATTTATATGAAAGCAGAACATTTGCAAAACTTTGAAATAAATCAAACCGATGATAAGAGATTTATGAATTTGTAAAATATGAGATCAATGAGTCTTTGCGAATCTCATATTGGCAGTTTGATCAGGGGATTGTGACATAGTCGCAGATAATTCCTCCAACTGTCTTGTACACAAATATTAATTTCTGTTTTTCTACTAAGCGCCTTCTTCCTTTGGGCACCAATCAAAATATCCTATGGATAGCATATTACTATAAGTCCTCTAAAGAGAAAAGATCCTCCTGAATTTTAGTTATTTTGTATGTTGCAACAAATCGGAAAGTTGTCCCCCACTACATCACATATTTTATGCAGCTGGTTGTGCTTTGTGAAAGTTGAAAATTGAAAGAGTTTTTTTTAATTGTTTTTATTAATTTAAGATTATAGATATTATGATTATGTTGAATCTAGTACAAATGTAAGATATCTAACCATAAATGCAAGTTTGTCTTCAAGCTTTATTGGATACATTGTATACTAAATGGGTAATTTGTATTGTAACTTGATTTGTATAGTGTACTCCTTTCACATCTTAAGAAGATAAGAATTAGTTTTTTATGATTCTTCCATTTTGACTTAAAATTATAAGTTTAAAAGATATTATGTGATACAAAGGCCGAGAATCTTGATTCTTTGATGTACTGATATTATTGCACAGTAATAGTTGCTATTTCCGTGTTGTAAATTCATGTAGTATTTTTTTGTCCTTTTAAAGAAAATGAAAATGTGATCGAAAAGACAAACATTTATATAAAGGATCCTGTTCTTAATGAACAGTATTTTTTATTTTGTAATTTTGATGGAAATATTTACATAACAGTTATTTCTTGTATCACATCAGCTGACATAGCACGCTTGGTAGCCAAGTATGTTGTGTTAAACCCCTGTTTCAATATTTGCCTGCTATATCCATGGTGGCCTCTGATCAATAATGCGCATGAGGTACAGGAATATTTGAGAATAGTGTAATACATTTTGATAGTGTATCGTCATGATAGAGTCCTCCGTACTATCTTGCTGTGACAACTAGTATATAGTCCCTAAGGTCCTGTAGGAAGCAACTTAAAAAGCTTCTGCTACACTTTGTGAGTGGTGATGGGTTATAGGAGGAATTGGGGATGTTCAAATACCACCTCTATTTACCAAGGAGCGCATCACCTGCCTCAGGGTCAGTCAGAGGATGGAGCTATGCCTGTTATCTTCTACCAATGCTCAATGAAGCTTGCATGGGCCATGCAAAAGAGGGAGATTGGATGGAGACAAGGCGCCACAACACACTTTACTGTGCGCCTAGATTATATTCCCTCTCTTTTTCTTTCTCCCCTCTCTCTTTGTCTTTCTACCCCTTACTTTTCCTCCATGTCTTCCTCTTTCTTGATCACCTCTCCCCTATCTCTCCCTCTTTCTCTGTATCTTTCCTCTCTCCAGTTCTCATTACTGTCATATTTTTTTCTCCTGATTTCATAAATCCTTATTCATATTTCCATTATCTGCAAGAAAAATAAATATTGAGATGTTTCAGAATCAAATTTTGTTTCTTTTACCCTCCATTGTTAATATGAATCCAATATTGTTATTCTCAAGACTTTCCTATTGAGACGTCAATCAAAATTGTGAAAGTAATACTCATTAAAAAACATATACATGTAGATGGGGACTCACATACCTGTACATGTATGTACAGTATTGTTAGCTTCAATAGAGTATGTTATTTGTTTACAGATTGGCAAGTCTATGTGAGCATTGTGTGATAATTGTCCTTGCATGCATGTATGTATACCTTAGTGACATTATAGGCCTACATGAAGCATAGTATACATGTAGTTACATGTATGCTTAGAATTCCAATAATACCACGAGCGTCATTTTCTGAGCAAGCTGACGTCATCTCAAATTGACCATTGATTACCACCGATAGGAACTACCCATATGCTCATTGCATTCTCATTATCGTCTGGATTCATAGAAAGCAGTATGAGATGTGCTATTGTGTAGATGATCATTGGAAAGATGACTGGCCCAATCTCACTCAATGTTACTTTGCTTCAAGATCAAGCTAGTAATCATTGGTTCAGATGGCAATAAATTGAAAATAAGTGAATGAAAATTTCCTGCGAAAAAAATGGATTTAATTTGATTTGATAATGAAAAAAAGAATTTTGAAAGATGTTCATTTTTCCTACCGTTATGAACGTTGATGACAGTATTGTTGAATTTGAAGGAAAAAAGGGACAATGTTTCCCATTTACTTTGAGACTACCCTTCAATTAAATCTCACAAACATTGTTATATTAAAGACAAAATTACTTCAAAAGTTGATGCTTGATGATGAACATATGGTGGAAGTAGAAAATGATTGTAATTATTGAAAGGTATATGCAAAACATCGATTGAAAGAGAATTCATTACTCAGCAGTGACACAACATACATTCATTAGAGATGAACCCCCCCCCCCTTCCCTCTAAGCATATTCCTTGAAATGGATGCAATTGTTACTGAAGATAGCGGTTAGACTGTGGTTAATTGGAATAACAGCCATTCAATGTCGCATGATTGAGCACAGCTCCAATGCTGGGTATTTTTATTCCTTCCCAGTGGCCTCCTCTGGTACATTGATCCAATGGGCCATTTTCCCTGTACTACACTTCACAATTCTCAGTACTAGTTCCATAGGTGGATGTTATTATATTAGATGTCTACTTGGCATAATTAGCTTGTGTATCTTTCATCCAAACTAGGTGAATTAGGAATTAGGAATTAGGAATTCTGATTTTAGAAACATGCCTTCAGAATTTACTTCCTTCAATTACCTTTATTTTTGTCCAGGAGCTGTCTGAATGGTTAAAGATTGCTCTTGTGAAGCAGAGACAGTCGTATCTCATTTTCCAAAATATACATTGAACAGTTGTTTTATTCAGGGCTAAAAAAAAGAATAAATAGAAGGAATCAAGTCATCTTTAGATTTTTATTTGATTATAAGTTTCGTGTTACATTGAAGAGACTTGTTATCAAGTTTCCAACCCGTGGAACAGAGTGATGAAGAGCTCTTCAATTTCCTTCAATTTAGAAATCAGGTCCTTGCGTCAGAAGGCAAATATAGAGTACATACAATTCCTACAATTTATTTGTGAAACCATCATATACCAGGTTTTCAGTGTGTGATGTACGTCATGTATATTTGCCAACTTCCGGCTGTGTCTGCTGGATGTTGTTAAAGCGTGCGAGCTGAGCAGTTATAATGTCATTTTCCAACTAATGTTTTGAGTTTAGATGATTTATCTGCTCGATGATGACAGTGACTAGAGTGAAACTAGATGTAAACAGTCCAATTGGATTGAGGTAATGAATAGTATCTACCTCACATCATCTCCTCCATTTACCAAGTCTATCCCTCATCCTGTTCTTATGTTGGTGAACTTCTCTTATTTTCAGATTACTTTTTTCAATCTCTGTTTCATTCCCTGTTCCAGTTTTCGTTTTTGAAAAATATTTGAATTGTATTTTTCTTTTTTTGTACATTGCAGTGAAATTGTTTGAGGTGATAGAGACGGACAAGACGTTATACCTTGCAATGGAGTATGCCAGCGGAGGTGAAGTCTTTGACTATCTTGTAGCACATGGAAGGATGAAGGAGAAAGAAGCCAGGGCCAAGTTCAGACAAGTATGACCATCTTTTTTCCCCTTCTTATAATGCTTCACAAGAAAATAATTAATATGAAAAATAGGGATTTATAGACTAGCACTTATATTTCAATGCACAATGGTATCAGTTGCTATTGGCTTCATCAAATGAACTCATTGTATTTATTTATGGGATTTTCCTTGTTTGATAATTTTATGTATTTTGTTTTTTTGGGGGAGATGGGAGTGATGTGTATATACACAAACTGTTTATAGTCTCGTATGTAGATATTAAATAGTGTTATATTGAATTACATATTGGTAATTGTCAATTAGTAGACAATAGCAGGACTTTATGGGATATAAACTAAATTATGATAATTGCAAATGAAGTGGCAAGTTTCAGAATCATTTGGGCCCAGACACTTTGTAACATAGAAATTATAGCGAACTGAATACACCACAATTTTCCAATCATCAAGGAAGCATGATTTTCTTTCGCATCAAAATAGCAATCATGCATTATGTAATGCTACATTGTATATATGCTCCTATATCAATTACCAAGTTGATACTTGGTACTTGTATGACAAGGACACTTCAGGCTGGAGCTAGTGAACTATTCTGGCACACATACCTTGTCAATAATACTTACATGTGATACTAGGATCCTTGTATCCTAATTATACGTGTATAGTAGTGATTAGTGTGATTGGTCAATATTAGGGAGAGAGACACCAGTGCAGTGAAAATGTGAGTGATTGTTATGATCGATGGAAAGTAATTTATTTTCATATTTTTCAGAAATTTCAAGTAGTTTCAATTGACAACTCATTTATGACATGACCAATTACTGGATTATTTTCATTCCCCTGGGTAAATGTTATGATGAAAAATGAGCTTTGTTTAATAGGCTTTTGGATATAACAGACTATATATTGCATACGGAAATGGGAGTGTAAACTCAGTCATAACTGTGATGCCTTAATGCTTCCCAAGGTGAAATCATTTCAGTGTCATGGATGCACTTTCAAGCATCCTTATTTCATTCAATTCTATTCCGCTGGCAATTGTGATCGTTTAAGTGAAAAGATATATTGCGGCCTCGAAAGCTGCTTATTCTAGCATTATTGAGAGACCAGCCTTGGCAGGGAGATGTGACGTCAAGAGACTCGGTTTCATCAAGCAATTTAAGATGGGGTTTGGATAGAATGATGCTGTTGGATTTCATAATTTCTTGTTTCGTCTCTAAAGCTTTTTGGATATTGAATTACACGGCGTACAAAGATGTTGTTTAGGCTCAGTGTCTGATACAGTCACAAGTAGTGGCTACAAGGAAGAGACCTCTTCCATTAATGCATATTGACATTCCTCTCAAGCTCATCATATTTTCCATTTTAAAGGAAAAGTCCCCCTCGGAAATATTGAGTGCTTATTGGTGAAAACAAATTTTCTCAAGTACAAAAGTTAGGGTAAATAACCCTCTGAATCCATGCTGAAGTTGAGTAAATTTGCAAAATCTGATAACCTTCCAATAATTGGAACATGTGCAGTTTATTAGCATTCATTACACTTACACAATACTTTTTTGTTACTTGTGCATTAATTTAAAGAGCAAAATTTCCAATAATTTGAATCATAAAGTAGACTAATAATACACTGGTTACCTTATTCAATTCTGTCTCATTAAAATTACAATAAAGAGAACTTCTGTTTGTCTCAATTTTTGGAAATAGCTTGCAAATGATTAATCTATACTCCGAACTTACAGAGTACAAATCAGTGTTGATTGTTTGTTTTAAATCAATGACTTGGACTGAATTACTGTTGGAAACTTGGTCATGTAGTAGTAATCTTTAAAACCAAAATATATATAGAGGCCTACATCTAAACCTAGGTAGAGTAGGGTAGACTATCCCTTTAAGACTATGGAGATGTAATAACCAAGAGTCCTGAGGCCATGTACATACATTGTCTATGCTCATTCCCTTTTCGCTTGTCAATTGAATTGAAATGTGAATTTCACAATATTTCACAGCAAGAAAAGTATTGCTTTCAGAAATAAATGCATGCACGTTTGACAGAATCGGAAACCCGATGCCTCCTGATGTTTAATCACTCCAGAGTACTTTTGTTTTTCATTGGCCTCCTGATTTATGTTATTGAACTACTTATTATATTCTAGATAATATGCTGTAATGAGAAGATAATAATTCACAAAAACAATTTGGAGTTTGACTACCGGTATTGAAAAGCCTTGTAAACAAGCAAAAGTATCTTTAATGCAATTCTATGCCTTAATGACAACCAATATAACTTCATTAAAGCAGGTATTAAAACAATTGTTAAATTTTCAACAAAAACATTGTTTCCTTTTTTTGTAGATTGTGTCTGCTGTACAGTACTGTCATCAAAAACGAGTAGTCCATAGAGACTTAAAGGTAAGTTGATGTTTCATTCACTTTCTTTCATCTTATGCTTGAACACCCTAAGACCGTTTCATACTCCATTTCTTCAGTAATCTTTCCCTTAACAAATTTTCAGACTGCTCATTTCAGGGTGTTTTTTTCCCCTTTTTCATGTGTATTCTCTTGTATTGTGTTGTTTACAGTACATTTGATAATATTGTTTGTCCTTTCTTACTCCTCTCTAATGATGCCTAAATGAAGGCCTTTTATTTTCAAACCTTGATTACACAATGTGTTGTTTTCATGTTACTCTTGGATGGTTAATTTCTACTGAGAAAACTCATTCCCCATCATGGGCTTTCAGGTTTATCCTTTTTGTTTGTGGAAATGTAAGTTACATAGGAAAACGATATATATTCATCTTAGCCTTTAGAAGTGCACTTGTTTATAAAAGGATGAGGGAAATAATGTGAAGTAGGGCAAGGTAAAGCCCAAACTGAAATAGCCAACAGTTTTCATAGCTACTTCAAATTAAAATAATTCAGTCGTAAGAATTTCAATAACTTATTCTTCCTGAACAAAATGTAAGTGGTATATAAATAGAATGGTAGTAGTAGAATGATTTTTATTAGACAACTTCAAAATGGTAGCCCGAAAGCTAAATTACATTGCAAGTTTTACCAGTATTAAAAAGCATTTCAACAAAACTTAGATATAGACAAGTACACGTAATACACAATCGGGTAGATCATAACTAATTACATATTCCCTACTTGCAAACAAATTGATGATACAAATAGAATAGATTCGGCATTATTATTATTTCTGTAATCATTGTTAAGTGAGGAATATTCATATTTTAAATAGAAATTGAGGCTGATTAATTGAGTTATAACAAGTAAGTACTGAAGATTTGTTTAATTTCGAACCGTAATGCACATTGAATGTCTATAAAGCTACACAATATACAATACATAAATTACCGAAAGGGAGAGAAAAGGTTAGGTAGAGAACGATGTAGAGAGAGAGTTAAGTTAGAAAGAAAAACAATAAAAACAATAATAAATACTTATGAATAGTTATCCAGGATCAATCATCTGGTACATTTATAGTAGGTTTGTAGTATCTCTGGGAGTTGTACGTGTGGTTCTACATGAAGACTGGAAGGCCTTGACTGCAAACAGATAAACAAACCGCTCAGCCATGGGGCAATGAGGATTGCTTTTAAAGGAAGAGGTTAATGATTTAGCCCTGTATCTCATCAGTCACCCTCACCGGGCCCTAGCTGCAGGACTATGCTAACCTTGGGGGTAACACCCTACCCTACTCACATCCACACCCAACATCTAGGTCACAGTGTGGAGAACCCATTACCGATCATCGCTAGTCTCTTCTCCTTACCATTTTGCTTTAATTGCTGTCTCTTACAAGTCTATTCATCAGTCCTCAGGAGACTTTGAACCCTCTTCAGACAATGACCCGCTTTAGAGATAGTCCTTTGTTCTGAATATAAGGAAATATGAAACGTGAAACAAAAATGTATGCTGCATGTTCAAGGCATCTGTAAAATGATATCCCTAAAGGAGCTCATCAACAAAGAAATATACAAAAATAGTTTTGTTGAAGAGAACATGTAGTCCCAAAGATATGTTTGTTAGTTTTTCTTTTTCAACAAGCCTGCAAAGAAATGTTTATCTTTTCTTGTCAAAGCAACTTTTTAACTAAATTTTGGAGAAACTTCAAGCCACCTTGAAATGCTGCTCTATTGAATGTACATTATAATAAGAAAGATTATCTTTAAGAATAAAAATTTGAATCCCATGTGTCCTTTCTACTCTGACCAGTCTCTTCACCGTGATCTCTCTCCTCTATCTCTATCCTCTTTTCTCTTCTTTTCTATGTCTGTTACATTATCTCCTTTTTTCTGTTTTTGCTTTTTCGACCCCTGTCATCCAATAAGTTACTGTGTTGACATCACTCTCCCCCACCCTCCCCCCCCCCCCTCTCCCCCCCCCTCCCCCCCCCCCCCCCCCCCCCCCCCCACCCTCTCCCTCTCTTGGGCACTCAAGCACTTAATTAATATTCCTGCACCTCCTACCACCATTACCTTCAGTCTTCCTATCCTCCTCGGTTCCCTTTTGACATTTCCCATTGATCATCTTGAGTGGGAAGAATAGGTCCATAAACAACCCTAAATCCTACCACCCTCCTGTAGCAATTAACCGAGTCACAGTGTGTTCATCAACCTAATAAAGTGGATGACAAGTTTATGTCACTACTTTAGACTTTCCCTGAATTTCATCTTGTGCAAAGCCCAACCTTGGTTAGAACACTTTACTTAGCTGATCTCAGTCTTCCCTCTACTCCTTCCATCCCAACCTGCTATCCTGTTTTCAACCTGTGTTTTTCCCCTCCTCTCCAGTTGTTCTAGCGTTCTTATTAAGAAAATGACGGCTATGGTTCTTGAAATCCCCAGCAGTTTGATGGCTGTCTTCATTAACATAATGACTTACTTTTTGTCTCACAGCATACATTCTGTATTAGAACCTTGCTATCTGTTTTGGAATAGGAAAGTCATTAATTTAAGGTTTAAACGACTCTTCCACACCACCGCAGCTCCCTACTTAGTGTAATGGTCAGGTTTTCACACATGTAGATAATCATAGAATCCCTTTATAGTGGAGTGATTTGCACTGTCCTGCTTTGCTTGCTGAGTCTGGTAAAGCGCAGTCTGGGAGGGAGATGATTAGGCGCGCTGGAGACAGTTAGTTTGCACGTTTTGAGAAAGACAACATCAGTCCGGTGCTCTATGTTGATTGATGCAACCTGATGCACATCATCATGTTCACAAGAAAGAAGAGGCAATTTTTACCTTGTAACATGAGGAAATCTCTACAAGTGAAATCGTTCAAGAGATGTGCAAGATATGATAACGTTGGCAGTCTTGGATTATATGTGCAATTTTTTTAGTGCGAAAACTCTCTTGTGCTCCCCCCCCCCCTTTTTTTTTTAACTCGGTCTTATTTCATCTCTATTCACCTTTCTTGCCTTCCTCATTCTTAGAGTGCGTCCTATTTTATTTCTTCAAGTTTAAATTATCACCATTTTTCCCAGATGGTCACTTTTTATCCTTGAAATATACCTTAGTCTAAGCAAATTATGGATACTTGCTCGCCGTATTATTGAAGGATGTCTTTTTTGCCTCTTACTTCACTATTGATATCAGCTAATATTTCATAAGGTATATAAACTATCACGGATCGTGCTAGTATTTTTTGTTTTTAATTGCAAGATTATTTTAAATATCTCTTCATCCTTTTCCATTTGTCCTAAATAACAGGCAGAAAATTTACTACTTGACAAAGACCTAAATATCAAGATAGCAGATTTTGGCTTCAGCAACGAGTTCACGATTGGCTGTAAGTTAGATACCTTCTGTGGCAGTCCACCCTATGCAGCTCCGGAATTGTTTCAAGGCAAGAAATATGATGGACCCGAGGTGGACGTCTGGAGTTTAGGGGTCATCCTCTACACGCTGGTCAGTGGGTCATTACCCTTTGATGGACAAAATCTCAAGGTAAGTATTCTAGTGACTGACAGCATGGAAGAAAACTCTTTATATTTATACCAATCATGTGATAGAGTATCTGTAGTATCAATAGCAGATTTCTTTAAAAAACATTAATTTGTAGCAGCAGTAATATTAGGAAAGTGTTTGATAGGAGTTTTAGTAGTAAGATGTTTGAGGGGGTAGAGATTGCTGTAGAAATACCAAAAGTATCAGTGATTCTGTTTGTAGCAGCATTATGTAATACCCACCAGTGTTAGTTACAGTAGTCATAGCAATGAAATAAGTAATGATAGATACAAAGTATAGATGAAGAGACAGATGTAGAGTATAGAACATTTGACAGACATTGAAAGAAATCATTCTTCAGTAGAAACATATACTCCTTTTCTACATTTTGAAATCTTTAACTGAGCCATTTTTCAGGGTCTTTGATTAGATACTTTAATTAAACTCAAAGTAGGGAACTTAATTGTATACTTATTTCCTGAAATAGCTGTACAACATGTGTCTGTCGAAACCAAAACATGGTGAACATTGTGGTGTATAATACGTATTTCTAATTAATTCAGTAACCAGTCCCAATCTCAATTGTTTACTCAAACATACAAGCAAATTTGGAGAGCATTAATCTCAGTGTATTTCAAAAATGTCTGTCTAATGATCACACATTATTTAGACTATTACCAGGAGAGGAATGCTCATGTACTTGAATGTTATGAAAGCTCATTACTTTTTAGTTCAGTTTCATTTATACTTCTATTGAAAGTACACTTCTTATTTGTATATTAGGAAATAATGGTAATTATAATAACAGCATTTCTTTAATGTGCTCATATTCATGTAAAACTTATCTTATGTAGAGATCGCTGTATTATCCGCAACTTCAGTTCACATTTCCCCCTTTTTCATGCTTCATTGCTAAATAAGACGAAGCAGGAATTCTCATCAGTGGTATTAAACTCCATTATTGAGTTGAAGTAAATTGACTAAATACTCATTAAATGTTATAATTTAATTCAAATCTTAAAATACTAATTCAGTAAGTTACTCACAAAACAACAGAATCAGAATCAGAATAATGGGAAAGTTTGTTTGCCTTTTGATGTGATGAAATATACAAGACAGTAGTATTAGCACCCTATTCAGTTTCCATTCCTATTGAAATGATGATAAGCTTCTTTCTAATTCTTCACATTTTGTTTGTTTTTCACTTCACCTCCTTGCACCTGACAGGAACTGAGAGAGCGAGTATTACGAGGGAAGTATAGGATACCATTCTACATGTCAACAGACTGTGAGAATCTACTCAAGAGGTTTCTAATGTTGAATCCAGCCAAGAGAGCCATGTTAGAGGTATGTACGCATGTACAGACATCACACAGCAACCAATCTATTACAAAGAAACTGCTGCAGCAAAATGAAAAGATTTTAAGCCTTGTTCAGATATGCTGTGGTCAACTGCTGTATTTTTAACATACGATTATATCCCTGAAATATTGAATATAAATTGACTAATATTGTGCTTTCAAAAATATCTTGCACTGAAACTCATTAGTCTTTTCACAACAGTGCATTCACCCTTTTACCAGGGAGTGAATTGTTTTGATATCCAACATTGTTCAAGACCGTTCAAATGTGTTTGCTGAATACTTAGTAACTGATTTTTAGTGATTTTAGCTATGAAGTCTAGTTAGATTTTACAGGTCCTTGTGCACAGGGGTCCTGTAAATATCAAGCCCTGCATGGCATTCCTGGTTACTAGGATGAAAACACCTCTCGAATTCACACCCCGTCCCCAGCAAAGCTTCTTACACGTCCATCTATTTTACTGAGAGGAGTAGATGATTTATAGATAGATAAGGAGTCATTGTGCTGAATCAGGATGAATTTACAAGGAATAATCTAAATGCTAAAGTCACAGCATTCATATAAATATTGACATAAACAACATAGAAGTGTCGTAGTGGAGTGGTTTAAGCACTTGACTTGAAATTCAAAGGTCATGGTTCGATCCCCGACACAGCATTAATGTCCTTTGGAAGACATTAATCTTCATTTGCCACATTCGATCCAGGTGAGGTAAATGGGTACCGGGCAGGAATTAATTCCTTGAAATGCTGAAGCGCTGTAATGGCAGCTAGGCTAAAACCAGGGTAATAATTTTTATTATTATTATTATTAACATTCTCACTTTTCTCTTGTCTTGTGACTCGTGACTGTCTGTAGACGATAATGAAGGACAAGTGGATGAATGCTGGGTTTGAGGAGCATGAGCTGAAACCTCATCAAGACAACCAGGAGGACTTCTATGATGAGAGAAGGATAGAAACCATGACTGGTATGGGCTTCAAGAGGAAGGAGATTGAAGACTCACTCAGGAATCATAAGTATGATGAGCACTACGCCACCTACCTCCTCCTTGGAAGGCGGCATAGTGATGTAAGTCAGACAGGCAGGCAGGGTGTATGTACGTGGGCGTTGCATGCAAGAGAGAGTAGAAGATATCTTGTCACGAATAGCTTGTGAGAGGGCAATGTCTTTATTCCATAATTTTAGGGAGAGTTTGATGATATAGTTAGGGGATGAAGATCCGGATGAATATCTAATAGCAACCTCGGTTCCTCTGTGATAGTCCAAATGATTTCTGAAATGGGAGGGGTTGTTACTGGTGTTGTAGTGGGTTGAAAAAATTGAGAGGACTACAATCTGTTGATTCCCTGTTTGCCGACCTATAAGCATACACTGGCTTTCTCAACAGTCAGGTAAATAAACAATGCCACATAAGTGACGAAATGGATCAATTATTTGTGGCATTGTTAGCTTTAGCTTTGTGCTTTGGACAAGATAAAGCTCTTGAAACCATCTACATAATAGAATTGGATGAAATTAACCTCAACTTGCCAAGTTAATAAATCTTAATTTTGATTTTAACCTTTTCAAATTTGTTCTTCAAACTGTTCATGTCCCATCTCATACACCCCTCCTGTATCTATCAGCAGGCTGAAGATGCAGACTCTACGTCAGGCAGCTGTCTATCACTACCCCAGCGCACCGTGAGTGATCTGAGCTCCTCCATCACACAATCACCGTCCTCCCAGGGTAAGAAACAGCGCAGCATCCCATCCAATCAGAAAGAGAGACGATTTAGTCATGGCGGGGAGAATTACGGTCAGTTTTGGTTGGCATGTCATTTTGTGTTTGGTTGGACACTTCATCTCCACTGTTATCTTTCGTGCATTTTACCCAAGATTATTCTTGTGAAAAGACATGTACACCTAAGCACCTTGGCCTGTCAAAGGGCATGCAAGCAGTTCTATTGTATTATTTCAACAATTTATTACCCTTTTTTCAAAAAGTTATTTGGGTTTTTTTCTCCATCTTTTTTTACTTTATTTGCACGCAATGCTTTTGCCAAAGGAAACTTGAATCATGAGATTCTGCTGGGGCTTTGCGCTGAACCACTGCAATGACTTGATATTGGCATTACCCACCCCCCCCCCCCCCTCCCCTCCTCCTCAATCAAATATCAGAGTGTGTGTTCATATTATGTAACATTCACATTTATCTCTATATACGTGAGTGCTCAATACTATTCAATCAAATACACATATCAACCATAACTAGATTTACTCTGATAATCATCTGGGTGTACCCCATATCAAAAATTCATCCTTAGTAACAGTCCTAACCTAACTATATATACATCCGAGTCATTATATTTATTACTAAATAATGTGCTATTATGGGCGCACCCACCCTTGCAGTATCTCATGTTTCTTGTTTGTGCACTTCATTGGTGAAGAATGACAGTTAGTTATATTTCATTGGAAGTTAATCACTATCTACTACTTCATGGAAACATGTCCGGTAAACTGACCATCAACTGACCGATATTCTAATTCAATTGAGGTTATATTTTTGGAAATCTAAGATTGTATAATGAGTGTTATTGAGAGAACCATGTCTCATCCACAAATGCATTCTTCTGGTCTCTTTCCATATATACCTTCATCTCACCTACTCTCTTCTAGTCGTCAGGAAAAGAGGTAATGAAATCCATCAGAAATGCCAGAATTTCTACTTTTTAATAAATCTCATTCTTTTTTTATTCTTATAACTCTTCATCAAGCAATTCTATTGTGATGAATGCCTGCCTGTAGTATCATAGCTATTACTTACTGTAACTCTTGTCTGGTGCTTCAATTTCTAGTCAGTCATTTTTGGTGAGCCTGCTTGTCTTTGGATCTTTCTATGTATCCCTTAACCTCTTTAGTTTCTGGCTCTTGATAGCTACTTTCACTCTTTTATTCTTCTTAGATTTGAATGTTTTTAAAATCCTCTCTCTGTCTTTAAGTTCCTATATTTTCTCAAGCATCCACCTTTATACCATATGTTTAGCAACTGTCTATTGTACAGTTACTCATCAAATGTATTCTAATTAGTCATGTAACCAGCTCTTAATTCTTTTTCTTTATACTTATTTTCTGGATTGTATACTTCCCCATGTGTGTTTTGTTTTCTTTGTTTAAGCGTGTGTCGTAACTTGGTTGTTGGTGCTGTCATTCTCTGTGAGCTGTTTCTACTGTATTAGGACTTGACTGTAGATTTCTTTAACATTTGGTTATATAGTAAAGATGGACAGATAAGCATGACTGTAAATAGATTTTCACAAAACCACACATGAAATAACACATGTTTTTTGTCAACATTTGTAAACATTAGATTTATGTGCTGTATTACCATTTTAGACTGTTCTTGCATCATAAATACAAATCATTTGCTCTTACTAGTGAATTAAACACAAAAATAAGAGATAGAATACATGCACATGTACTGGTATCTCCCAGGATTAGATATCTTTCATTCAGATGAGACCATCCTTTCTGACACTTTTTGCATGTTAGATTTTAAGAAAAGTACTGACACTGTGAATGTAAAAAAAAATGGACGCTTTATGGAGCCGCAAAAATAAATGCACCCTCTGTATTAACCAGACATGCAATTAATTTTTGAATTTAAAAAAGTAAATGCTTTTAACAATTTCCCTTCATTGCCTCAAATATACAGTGATAATTTGATTAGCATGAGAAATTTACTTTAGGATAGATCATGTAGTTACGTGGTATGGTATTTCTCATTCTACATTTATTTTTATTTCTACAACTTCTCATTTGCTATTGTGAAGACTGTCTTTACTGATAGCCTTGACAAACAGATACCAGAGAAAAATCATGTAGCGACAGTTTGTAAATTAATGCGATAAATTGTGAAAAATCAAAAATCTAAAACAAATTACAGTCCAATAAAAGCAGCTATTTGTAGAGCCATTAACTTAAGTAGGGAAATATTTGAGCAAAACAACATGATTGCAAGTGTCAATTATAAAAATTATGAAAAAATGTATCAAACTTGATGAGCTTTGCAATAGCAGATGATTTAGACTATAGAACAAACAGATGTTTGAACACCCATTTCTCCTTCCCCAACTACATAAATTAAAAATATTGAGATATTTTAGTATTTAAAAAAATCACTTTGTACACTGCAGCTAGAGACATTAGTTATAAAATTAATTGAAAGAAGGACAATTTGTGTAAAAAAAGATGAATTGATAGAAAAACAAGCAAATTGAAAAGACAGAGAAATATTGATACTTGTGTCTTTGATTTTTTCCTCCCTGAACTAGTCATAACAAGGCCAAGTAAGTGATGATGAAATTAGCTATTACATTTTCAAATTAGTCTTATCAAATTCAAATTTTGGTGGCTGTAAATGATAGATCATTTGATTCCAACCTGCTTCTACATCATTCAAAGGAGAATAAAAGTACAGTGATAGAGAGCTGTGCTAAAGAAGAAAGACAAAGTAATTTATGCTTAGGCATGACTACGCTTTTGCTGCATGTGTATCAAACCTTGCTGTGAGGGTCCTTTAGCTCCAACAATAGCTATCATTTATACTATTCCTGCTTTCTAGTTTGAGATGCTAAAAGAAAAAAATAATACTAACCTGCTGTTAGCAGTCTAACCATGTTTACATCATATTCTGCCAGCTTAAAGATGAAGTTGAGTTCTGGTCATGCGATTGCATTGTGAATGAAGCGGTGTGGAACCGACCAGAAAAGGTTGAGCATCTAGCATATAAGAATTTGTGTGTATTGCAAGGTTCTGGAATCATCAAAATGATAAGAAATTTGGCCAAGTCTTGGTAAAGTTACAAACACTTGCACAGAAAGATGTATATGGGACTACACGAACAAGTGGCGTAAAAAGCCGGCCCCCCGATCTTTACGATGTTACATGCATATTTAGAATATGAAGGCATTTGAAGAGCCATGCTTTTCAGGGAACATGTCTTAACTGATGTTCTTCCACACTTGCATAATAAGAATGAGTAATGCTCACAAATTATTTTTCACCTCTTCCCAGAACTCAACCTTCTCTTTAAGCTTGTGCTTTGGATCCTAATACAAGGGTTTGACACTAACAGGGTCCACAACACTCCCCACCCCCCCCCCCCCAAAAAAAAAAGCTTTGAACAGCCCCCTCCCCCCTCCTCTCCCTCCCCATACACAAAGAAATACATGTAATACTGAACCATTCAAACCAGACCCCCTCTGAACAAAGTTAGTGTGGAGCCCTGCTAATACATTTATCATGCCAAGCATATGCTATAACATTAAATCATTGTATTGTATTAATTAATGGTGATGGTGGTGGAGGTGCTTTGGCGGTAGCTAAAATTAATGCCAAAAAGGGTGAATTTGCGCATCATAATGCCTGCTTTTACATGGAGGTATCATATTCATATAAGTACCCACAATGACCGTAATTCTCCCGTTCAGCTTGGTACTAAATATGCTCTTCTGATCATATTGCAGCAGAGTTAACAACATCATTATCGTTAGTGCTTTGCACTCATTTTATCATGCAAAGGGTAACATTGTGTCTTGAAGATGTGTGGAGCTCAAAGGGTGAGTGAAAAGAAAAGAAAACATTTTTTTCTGCTTACCTCTTCATCCTGTGTATCGTTTTTATTGCTTGATTGCTCTCTCTCTCTCTCTCTCTCTCTCTCTCTCTCTCTCTCTCTCTCTCTCTCTCTCTCTCTCTCTCTCTCTCTCTCTATCTCTCTCTATCTCTCTCGGTCTCTCCCCCTCTGTCTGTCTCCCTCCCTCCCTCCCTCCCTCCCTCCCTCCCTCCCCTTCTCCCTTCTCCCTTCTCCCTCTCTCTCTTTTATTACTTTTTCTTCCTATATATTTATCCATTCCTTTATCTTTTTACCTTTCTCCTTTCTTGCCTCTCCGTCCCCCCCCCCATCCCTCATGAATCTGTTTAGTCTACTTGGGTAGCTTTCCTAATGATTCCTGTTTCTTGTGTATTTCTGTTTTTCCTTTCTTTGTAAAATCTTGACTTCTTCTTTATTTCATTCAGTAAATCTTGATTATCTCATCTCCGCCTCGATGTATCTTCTGAGAAATATCTATTCTTTTCTTTCTTTACCTCTATGATAATGCTTACAATGATTATCATTATATTATGTATGTGCTTCCTTTTTTTCCTCTTCAATTTTTCTTTTACAGTTGTCTGTGCCTCCTGTAGGTGCAATTTGAAGGACATTTTCTTTTTATTTTGTATATTTATAAACGGTTGATTAAAGATACACAATTCATTTAAGCTTTCATTCGTTGGAGAATTCAACATCGGCTGTCACATTACAGTGAAAAGTGCCTTAATAATCACAAAAAGAAGCAAATAAACAGAAAGGGGTCACAAACCCCTGAATATACACATACACAGACTTCATGTATCTAGAAGAACTCTTGTTAATTGACAGCTGCAGCAATAAACTCCTATTACAAAACTCTGTATTTGAATTGGGAACAGGTGTTTAACTTTATCACTGAATTTCTTGACATTAAGGCATTGGGGTTTTGTGTGGATTATCTTAGGAGGTACGTCTATATCCACTAGGACCTTTCCCCTCAGTTGACTAGTAATATCCATTGATTTGAACAGTCAATTTAATAGAGCACTTTCAGCCATGTCTAGATGAGCTGTAGAGGTTATTATGTTGTTACTGCTGCCCTAACAATTCCATTGCGCTCCATCAGCCTTCATGTGAAGAATTAACTCATCCAATCAATGCCTGCTTGCTCTACAATACATGGTAGTTATGCCTGTTGCAGGGCAACTACCATACACATTAATATACACTGTGATAAACAGTCAATGAAATCATTCAATATTTGTTAATTGCTGTAATATCTCCAGTTGTGAATTTTATTATGATAGTATTGATGTAACCTACATTGCTGGATACTGTAGCATAGGAAGGCACTCCTTGCATAGGATACTGTCTACATCAACATAAGATTTGAAAAGACAGGAACATTAGGTACATGGAAGCATAGTCAATATATAATGACTTAAAGAATAATATGATAATGAGAACATCATAGTAGGCTAGCATCAGTAGTGAACACAGAGCTGTCAAGACTGAGGAATATTATTTATATAAGTTATAATAAATGAGGAAGAACGGAAATATACAGTAGTAATAGTAACCTCCAGAACTGCTAGAGCTAAGCAGGTGCAATGTGTCTGTTGCAGTATTGTATCTTATCAAAATGACTGGAAAGTCCATTCCATATTGGACATGTTCAACTGACCCATTTGTTAAGTTACCACACCTGTGTTTAGAACTAAAGGGTTTTCCTCTGCTATATGTCTTTCTGTGTGGAATGATATCACAGCCCATGTCACAATTTTCCAGTTTATTTCCTTATAATACATCGCTATTCTGTCTTTCTAAAGGCATCACATTTTATTCAATGTGTCCTCTTTAATTTTGTGTGATTCGCACTTCTCTGCCTGTCTTTATGTTCTTAGATTTGCTAACAGATTTGATTTGATTCGATAATCAAGAGATAAAGATTATGCATTAAGGTCTTCAATCAACTTCTGTGAACATTTATTATAGGCAGCCTTGTGAGAAGATAATTTAATTCATGGCTGATTACTAGAAAGTTTAGGTAGCTATTTGGAACATCCAGGAATATGTGATAGAAAGAAAGAAAAAAATAATTAGATGAATTTCATGTGATGCAAACAAAGGAATACTGAGAATTAACACTTGAAAAATTTAACACTAGAAAGAAAGAAAAAAAGTGAAGAGATAAGTAAATGTATTCACCTACAGGTGATTGTATGAACGATAGGCATTTCCACTATTACCACAAAAAATATTGAAAATGTTCTTGCAATTCCTCAATCATTTTGCATAAGCTTGTAGCTCTGACCAATTAAACCATTGAATTAAGGACATTTAGGCGATAAAACTGTTATGATTATAAATTTTAAATGAACATAATGCAGAGATGAGAAGTCCATACTGGATCTGTACATGTTTCTGTCCTCTTAGCTTCTTGTCTTGTTTGCAACCTAGCTTGTTTGTTAAATGAATGCCATTTCTGGATGATTAATTGTTCTCATTAAAGAAAGTGAGTGATTTCTCAAATTCAACCAACCTTTTTAAAAATAATTATTACCAACAGCACAAAAACATCAGAAATCAGATGGTGGTTTGATTTCTTCTGAAATCATAACTCTCATTTTGCTTCATTTCAGTTTTGTTTAATTCATGATTGTTTACAGTTTTCTTTCCAGATAGTCTTCAGTTACACCAACTGCAAAGGACTATTTACTTTCATATGTTTAATATATCAATGTTACAATGTCTTTATTTTTAATTGACCAGCATTCTCATTTCTAAATTGATTGCCTTGGTTTTAAAATATCTTTGTTTATTTGATCAGCATTCTTATTTATTTGACTGACAAAACAATATGTTGTGTATAAGTCAGTACATCCCAAAGAATTCAAGTTAGAAGACATGTGCATGTGCTTTGCATGTTATTTCACATTTATGCATGTCATAGAATAAAGAGTTATCTCAGTCTGCACTTTGAGATGCACTCACACATTTTTAGATTGTTTGTTTAAATCGTAATGCAAGAAGAGAAGAAATTATTCGAACAAAATGCCACAGCAACTCAATGGATATCATGGAAATTCATTTGATAAAGAAAATGTAATATTTAATATATATATGGTAAATAGTGGTAAATTTATCTTAAATTGCCATACTTTTGCAAAATCCCAGGGTAGATGTGTTTCTGAACTATTTCTACAGCAGCTATTTATTGGTTCTCCACTAAAAGCAAAAACAAAAAGTCAAAGCCAAATTTGTAGGAATTACAGAGAATATCAAATTAGCCTATTCAAAATGACTTCATGAAAACAATTTTGTTAATGTTTTGTTTACAAGAACACCTCAAGGAACAAAAAATATTGTATACAGTAATATGAAGCATGTATTTATTTGTTCATGGTTTGCATGGCATACACTATTTTGATATTATCAAAAGTAAAAATATATTTAATAGATAACATATATTGTGTAGAGTATGTATCTTGATTGTGTATCTAACAAGTCCGAATAGTATAAGTTGTAAAGAGTATGATTTAATACTTATATGCTGAATCCAGTGCTAGAAACATGTTAATGTGTAATATGCGTGTTTAATTTATCTGGCCACTAAACATTCTTTTTGCTTGAAACCATTCATCAGTTCTTCTCTTCATGTTTATAACAGGATTACATCTGTAAATTTGCTCAAGATTTCATTAATCATATCGCAACTTGTTGTATGCAAATACATGTTGAGAGTCATTGCCCATTATGTCATTTTTTCCCCTTACTAATAATTTATTATGTCATGTTTTCTGTGAGTGAATAAAGTCATAGATAGTTTATGTCCTTAGTCATTAGATCCATCTATTATAAAGCCATCATAGAAACTATCCCATCAAATCTTGTTATCATAATCTCTTTTATCATTCTTAGTCTTGTTATGTGCTATCAATGGATTTTGATAAAAATATATTTTAATACTAGAAAGTTTGTTGCCCATTTATATATATTTATTGAGGAATATCGTTTTGAAATAAAGTTACCTAAGTAACAGGTTGAAGACTTCTAAAAAACAACTATTTAAAGCACTTACAGTACATTTTTTGTTAAACCTATTTTTTTTTTTTTTTTTTTAAATAAAAGAACTAGTGATATTGGGTAAATGTGCCTCTCCAAGTTGTCACAATTTGCAGAGACCCGAATATAGAGTGGAGATAATATAACTTGATAAAGCATTTAATTGCAATTTTGAAAGAGAAAACAATTCTACCACCAAATATGTTTGAATTTGACGGTTAAAAATAGGAAACATAAATGTGAACAATTATTTAATTTTGGGGTGAAATGTAATTCAAAATTTGGAGGTCAATAATTGAGTAGAAAAGAAATGATTAAGTATTGACCCAAGTATTAAATCCTGAAGCATTTTCATATCAGTAATGATTGTGAGACCTTGTAATGCTCTTTATCCCAGTCTATGTTCATCTATGTACAGTACAACATTTGAATATTCCAAAGAATGACTAAGATCTTTGTGATTTAATATCTGAAATGTTAAAGCATGTTGTTCTCTATTGGAAGAGAACTAGTGATCAATTATGAGCACTTCCATTTTGCAGTGTATTACGTTTTATTTGATGTGTGACATCTCATCCCTAAGACAAAAGTTGAGACGCATGCATTTGCCTGCAGTCGGGAAGGGCCACTATGTCAAGTATCTTCATTTTGTATGACAATACTCAACAAAAACTTCCTTTTTCCACCACGTGTGAATACAGGGCAGCACTCCTATAAACGTCACATGGACAGTAGTTTGAAGGAGAACATGGGCAATCCACCACATAGAGACAGAGGACGCTCTAGCCACGGTCCCATCGGGTCTAAGGATAGCAGCTCACAGTCCAACACAAGCAACAATCCCAACCAGTCAGATATACCTGACAGGAAAGCCAAATCTACGCCAAAGAGCGCCAGCAAACTGCCAACAAAGGTAACCATGTTGCAACAGTGCGTTAATATTCATTTCATGAAGCCTGCACTTTTTGGGAAGAAGAAGAACTTCATTAATTGGGTTTTTATTGCTTTAGATTTTAGATGAAACACTTTCCATTTGCAGCATTTTTTTTATACATTGGGAGCGTTACACTGAACTTGAGTTTATTATATAATCAAGATATTCATCATATATCTAGTAATCTCCACGAATACATCAATAACATACAAGAATTGATTGGAAACAATACTAGGTTTTAAGAAAGGTTTTTTTTTATTAGCTTGTACATGTGCTCTACAACATAGTATTTAGTTTGAGGTGAATGTCAAACCCTTCATGATGAAAATGAATTTGCATTTTAACAAGTAACTTTCATGCTTTACTTCAGTTTCTGGCACTTGATTGAGCATGTTGGGTAAAACATATGTTATTTCAATCTTATACTTCCGTTTCATTGAAAGCGGTTCAATTATGAGCTATTTGCCCCCTATCATTTCCACAAATCTAATTCTAACCATATATCTTTCTGACAAATTGCTGTGATGATTTGTTGTTTTTGAAATACCTTTAGACTCCTCCTGGTATGAGTAGGAGAAACACGTATGTCGCAGGTGAGAGGGATTTCCCTGGCTCAAGTAGAACCAATGGCAGCAGTGAAAGGTAAGAAACCAGCTAACAATCTTCTCTTCTCCTTGCTTACAGACCTCACTTAAGTAGAGTTGTAGTGTATATGTACTGGAGTGATTGTATAAGATGGTTGCAGTGGTTTATCTGGGCTCGCTCTTTAACTAGGTTGAACATGTCATCACGACAATAAAAGGAGGTTATATTAACTATCTCTACCAGCAGTATACAGAGTTGCTTTGTTGATCACTACCATCTAGCAGCTCAGCTCACTCATCTATTGCTATTTGTATGAGTATGCTTTAGGTACAGCATAGAAGATAGCATACACCTCTATGTATTGCTAATAGTGTGTAGAGCAACAGAGATGTACTTAGTCACTCGTAATGATGTGAAAGTAAAGCTGTCTTTCACTATGCTATCCAGAAAATGGTTGCTTTCGTCCAATTCTGTATATATATATAGCCATATGCATGGCCCATATGGCTGCTGAGAAAGGCTACGAAGTATCATGATGGCTTTATTATTTAAGTGTAACTACAAGAAAACGTCTATTAATTTTAATAAAGTGAAATTACCTTTGAGAAATGGCTACAACAAAAGGAGAATTATTTGTCTATTTTGTAGTTCATTAACATGTAAGTCATGTTATTTTGTGTTACCGGTACACATAAATACCTAAGGTAAAATTGATGTGCGTAGTGTACACATCTACAGGTATTGTGCTTAAGCTTTTCACTTTACCCATATTGTGTCAAATAGTAGGTTGGTAAGAAGAGTGCAGCCACACCAATGTCACCTATTATTCCAATTCAACCTATAATCCAAACTATAATTTACCACCATCCTTTGAGTTGAGTCACCATATTATTTATTGATTTTGTTTTTGTTTTGTCTTTCTATCCCTGACTCATTCATGTCCTTAACCCCTACACCTGTATATATTGTAATCACTGCGTGTACCGCAAGACTTGTAAAGAGAAAGTGAGGATTTAGGCTTGAGTGTGGGTTTCAACAGTTGGACATGGGTTTTAATGCTATGCTCCATTGAAAGTACACCACATATAAGGTTTTTTTCTTCTAAAAGATACATTGTTACATTTGAACACTTAAATCCTTTTTAGTATGCCCTAAATGTGCCAAGTCAGGAAAACCTAGAAATTTATGGCTGTGCCTATTACTCTTTGGAGTCTATAGGTAAAAAGAGACAACTTTATTGGTATTATCCTGACAACTTCGGAATTAAACATCGAAAGTGAGATGTGCCCTTGAAACATGAGGCGTTGAATTACAATGCTGATTGATTTTACGTTTCTAGGTCAACAAGACATCAGAAATCCTCCTCAACGTCCAGTCATCCTGTCAAAGGGGCACTCCTCCCGCCCATTGACGACCCCAGTAATCGGCCCAGGTGAGCCTGTCCTTCCAACCAATTCCCAATCTCTTGGGTTCCATCTAGAGCTGCCTTTTCAAAACAACATGTCTCCTGCTTCCCCTCTTTGTCCCTGTCTTTTATTCTAGTTGTACCCCCATCTAGTAGATAGCTGTAGGGGGCACGGTTGGTTGGTTGGAGTATGCACCCTTACCCCTCCCCTCCCCCCCCCCCCCCCTCCCAAATGGTTACACTGGTAAATCAAGGACCTGGTCAATGAAGATTTATTCACCCCCTCAACTCCCACCCCCCTTTAAAAAAATTGCCCCAAATTTTCTACCCCTCAATGTTATTCATAAATATATCAAAGAATAAAATTATGACTATCAAAAAGAATTGGCTAACTGTGAAGATTTGGGAGGGGGTTATGCTTGGCAGGTTTAAAGTTGTTTTATGATAAAGCCCTGGTTTGTTGTTGTATTTTGATGTTTGTGTGACCAGTATGATTGTGAGAACCTTTGTCCTACCTACCTACTCCTTCATCCTCAAACCCATGGCTGCACTTAACAAACCACCTGTCTTTAATAATACCATGCGTAGGAATCACACCAGATTGTTTACTACTTCTCACCTCAATGCAAATGTATTGACTTTGTTTTTTGTAACACAAGTTTTGTGTTCATTGTGATTCCCTTTAGCAGTTGGTTGATTTATGTATACAGATACTAGAGACAACACCATACGTATGGATATGAACATTGTAAAATATTTCTTTCAAACTCAGTGATAGATAGAATCTAAGGTGGGGAAATGTTGAAAATTATGCTCCATAGCACTTTGAGAATACTGTACATGGATGTACTAGAAACATAGAAAGCAGATGATCTAGCATTGGAGTTTATGTTGATATATTCAAAACATAATACATTAATATAAAATGTGTGAAATCTAAGAACTTCGTGAGAAGACACTGTAAACATCTAATTCTTTTTTTTCTAGTGTGTCATCTGTATCTACTTCAACATTTGTGCATCGTTAATAAATTCACAAAAGTGTTTGTTATTGCTCTTCAGGGGTCATATTACATTCATTGACTTCTTCTAAACAACATTTCATCCTTCGAATAGGTTTTTATAAAGAAATCATTCCAACCATATAAAGAATGAAATGAAAAGGGGTTATAAGATGCTAGTAGTAGTTTCATGAAGCCTTCATGTCAATGTATTTGTTTTCACTAACAGGTGTCAATAATCATTTGTGATATTTTTCAATCTTCTATCTTGCCAACAATTTTGATTCACTTGTTCATGTTTAGCTTTTGTATTTTTAATAAGAAATATATCTTTTTGTTGTAGTAATCATGTGTTGTATTGTAATGTATGTTTGTAGTAATGTACAGTTTGTTCTAGATTCAAGGAAAACATCCCGGTGTTGGTCTTCTCTGAATTCTGTTGCTGTTACTTTAATACAATAATGAATTCTCTTTTCTCCACTAACGTTTATGTGTGCACTATGTAATTCAAATAATAATGTGAGATATTTTATCAATATTTCAGATATTTTGTTTTAGATAGGCCTATGGCAGTAATTACCAATGGGGATTCTTGAATGCCTCTTAAGCTATATTTTCCCTGGAACTGATTTGCCTGGAAATTGCTAATGGATATCCTTCAAATCGCTAGTTGGTCTTAGCATACTTTCATTGCAAAGTTAATCCTTTTTCTTTATATTTTGGCATGTTTTAAAGAAAAAGTTGACAGATTTTAGACCTGTACCTGTACTGTTTTGAATCAAGGCATACTATATGAGGACTATCATGCTACTTTGAACTTATCTCGTTCTTTTTCCTTATTTTGGATGAGCTCTTGTGATATCTCAGTAAAACCTAGTAGATAATAATTTATATTCACTGTTACTGCCTTCTAAATATATATCATCTCTTTCTTCTAGATTTAGTATTACCATTTGTTGTTTTCAGACACCCTAACATAACATGTGTGGTTTTATTTTTGTATGAAATGTATACCATTCACGTTCATTCTTTTGTTTTCTTTGTTTATGTATCCTCTCTAACTGCATTTTTTAAATATTAAAAATTGCTTATGTGTTATTCATCATTTGAGTTGCAATTAATTCCAGTATGCAATTCTTCATGCACTTTTGTTATCATTTCTTTATTCAGGAATTTATATTATTCATCCTTAACATTTATTCTCTGACATTTGTTTTTACAAGAAAAGATATCTAAATTTTGTTTTTAATTTTTATTATTTACTCTTTTGGCCGCATGTGCTCAAATATTATCGAAATTTTAAAAAATTTATATTTTCAATTTATCAAACTTGGATTCATGATAGATATATGCACATTAAGATTGTTAAAGGCATCAAAATTCAATATCAAATGCTTTGAAAATGATCTAATTTGAATGTGTTTGTCAAATGTACTTCCCTTCCTTCTGCAGTACTGCACCTAACAAGAGACACCAAATAGGGGGTTCACCTAGTGTGAGGGGGCCACCAGTACAAGGCTCTAATCTTCATAGAGGTACCGTCAACCGAGCTACCATCCATGGTGCACCAGGTAGGCGACCCATGTTCAATGGACCTGCATCGGCCCAGGGTAGTTCACAGGATACATCTACCAGGAACATGGGTGGCCCACATAACATCTCCTTATTCAGCAAGTTTGCTTCCAAGTTTAGCAGAAGGTGGGTATAGTAGGAAACATTTAGTGTTAATCTATGGTGGTTGGTCAATCAAGAAACAATTAAAATGGGGCCCTGAGATTTTTTGCTTCAGAAATTATCTTTTTAAATCAGCTGTCAATGTGTTATAATGTGTGAAATCTCTGAACTGGATAGCAAAGTCATAAGGTCCTTAAACAGATATTTCTCCTGTTGCTGTTGCAATGTAGGAATTAGCGCAAATGCCAATTCCATTGACATTTTTAAACTGCAGGGGACGGGGCATTGCTTTGTAGTGTAACACTGGTAATACCAAAACAACCAATATGTATCTCATATTTTGATAACTGATTTCATTCCCATTTCATGATTTCAGGTCACTAGTAATGGCAGAACCCCCTTCAGAGTATGTGAAGCCAAGGTCACTGCGCTTTACCTTCAGTATGAAGACGACTAGCTCCAAAGAGCCAGACTCCATCATCGGTGAGATCCGCCGTGTTCTTGAGTCCAACGGCGTGGACTTTGAACAGCGTGAGCGCTATCTATTGTTTTGTGTACATGGCGATGGGCGGGGAGATAACCTCATCCAATGGGAGATGGAGGTGTGCAAGCTACCACGCCTCTCGCTCAACGGGGTGCGCTTTAAACGGATATCAGGCACCTCCATGGCCTTCAAGAACATTGCCTCCAAGATTTCCAATGAACTGTGCTTGTGAAGTGATGCCGGAACCATTCAGCAACATGACAGCTGCGACGAGATTCAAGTCCAACTTGGTTAGATAGCACCGTATCTGACATACGCTCAAGGAGAGCGTGTGTTTGCGGTTGCTACTACCATCCATATCCTCCACACTTTCATAATACCGTCTGCTTTGTATGTGAACAAGATGACATCACATCATGGCATCTTGATCTTTGAAGCATCTTTTTATCATCTGTGAAGAAGCTCCTAGAACTGCACTCTTCTGTACGCATATTTGTAATGTAGCAATACAAACCAGATTGCGCACCATGTTCACCCAACTCTTATACCTAGTAGATGCAATGTAAGATAATCACTCTCATTCTTGATGTTCTTCAGGATTCAAATCTACACCAGCTCACAGAAGATTCCCAAGACTCTACAGTGTTGCTGTTTTTGTTTGAATCATCAGAAGGAAGAAATATGAAGCAGACACCAAAGCACAGTACATTCAAATCTAGTGTAAAATCTCCAGATTCTGCTCATGTCTTACCTGAGTAAGAATGTTTCTTGCAAAAAACTCAAATTGAAATTGAGGTAACATAGAAAAGATCCTTTCAACTTAGGCCAATCTCAGAAGAAGAAGATGCAATCTGCTGTGAGATGTTGATCTATTTGACCATGTCCCTTTATCTATTAGGATGTGTGATGTGGGTAATTGACAAGCAGGGTATGTAACCTTCTTTCAGGATCTTTTCATCAAGTATGTTATCTCTTTGAATCCACTGCCTCACCCGTCGTAGCTGCATGTTTATAGGCCCTAGCTAGCTTGTCTGAGATGAGAACAAGCAGAAGGAAGGAAGGAAGGGCCTACCACGATTGACCGTTGCTTCGTCGGCTTCGGATCGTGATGATGAGACTGTCATCAAAGACCACGCTGAATGGTTCCACATAACATTATTCGCTTTACGTTTACCAAAACGGAAAAGCGTCTTAACTGCCAAAAGAAGGAGCCCTTGTGTTTGATGATGTAATCATCAAGCTGGGGAAGATGGGATGTACCTGGGCTATAAGTGCCATTTAGTAGCCAGCATGGTACAGGAGAAAGCATCGATGGAATGGAATTGTTTTTAAATAGTAATTCAAGTGATATATGACTTATAACTAAGAGTGTTTCTGCATCACTTTTTTCTTCTTTTTTTTCTTCGTGCAAAGTGATGCAGAAAAGAAAAGCTAATTTATGTGAATATCGGTGATTAATGGAATAAACCTTTCATATGGGTTTATAGTACATATCGCATTCAGAATGAATGAATGAATGTTAGGGGTTTGTCAATGAAGTTGAAGACTCGAGTCACAAGGATTTAATGTGTGCATACTTATAACATAGAATAACATGGGTCATACGTAGTGCTCAATAACATTCACTGTTTATTATTTCATCTGGAAGGAAAGAAAATAATGCAGTCTGATATACTAACTGATGTAAAAACAAAATAACCTACATCAATACAAATATAACTGCTACTTTGTGGAAGTATGTAACTTTTGTAATTTTGATAGAATTGACCATTGTATGTTCTATAGCAGTTATTTCAGCGATAAATGTCCGGTAAATTGGGCCTCAGACTTTTATACTAGTCCAATCAGTCTAATGTCAGCTCCAGTAAAATTACGCAGACTATATGATCAGGCAGGCAAGATGATTGAACGTAGAGCATTATCCAGGTCCCAGGTATTATTAAGTTATGCCACATTTAAATCTGTGTTTCTGGCCATTTTCATGAAGGAGGTTTAACCAGATATTTCACATCAAACTTATGCAAATTGAACCCTAAATTTTCATTTTCTATTTGTCATTTTTTGCTTATTGATGGTTAAAAGAGCTTCTCCATTTCATATTCAATACCCCTCAGACTCACAGCCTTTATTTTAATTTTCCCCTAATTTATTCATCAAATTTGATTTGCTAATGTTTTTGTTTTGACAAGATTCTTTGAATTTGTAGATGTTCTGGTTGGTATATTAATAAGGTTGATGTGACCAAAACCCTTTGTGATGTCATTCAGAAATGATGTGGTGTATAGAAACGCATTTTGTCCATCATGACCATTGAGGTCTTTAGTCTTCACTCATATAGAAAGATCCCTAACTCGCGCTATTCATTGTTGAGAGTTGGAGGTAAGAAAAGAATGTTTGGTCATTTTAACGTTGAACCTCCTTTGTGTCACATGGCCTTTCTACGAGTGAGTTTTACACAGCGTTTTGTCACTGCTTTCAAATTTTGCCAAGCACTGTAGCATAATGTTGAACCCATGGCAGATTTTATACATACTCCTGGGCTGCATTGTGTTGTCTGGAGCAGTTGGAGTCCCCAGTATCATATTGGATGGTGTATGTCCACAGCTGTATCATCTCAAAGAGCCACTAGATCCTCTGCGTTACATCCTCCACCAAATTTTACACAGCTATCAACATGATTGCAATAACACTCAGAAAAAGAAGGAAAAGAATGTAAAATGTTATAACTTATTGCACCCAATAGCTTCCTTTTCTTTTCTTTTTAAATCGATTGAAGTTAACTTCTGTTACACAGCAGTGCTTTCATCGAAGAAGAAAAGTGTTTGGCAAAATTTTGTGGCAGTGCAAAAACATGAAGATTGAACTTGCAGGTATAGTTGATGTACACAGTGTAGTGCACATGTGTGATTTAGCCACGGAATGCTTAGGATTCTTGCTCTCAGTTTAACTATGTTCTACAATAAACTATTCATTGAATAAAAACAGGAAGTAATGAAGAAAAAAAAAGTGAAGTATCTGTACATAACATGTAAAGTAGAAGAAAAAAATATGTGGAATATGTTCTTGTACCATAGAAACAAAATAATTATGAAAGACAGTAGAGAAAAAAGGGGTTGCACTGTACATGAAAACAAATGACTGATTTCTGGAATCCTGATTTGTTTTTGTTTTTGTTTTTTAATCACTATTATTTATTGTAGTTTGTTTTGATTCTGTACATCTTCAGCTGTCACCTTGAATGTGTTTTAATTTTGAGTCTTGTTTTAAGATTGGGATGGTTGCTAGGTTCTTCAAGTGCTGCACGTCTTCTAGCCTGCTACACCAAAGTTAACTCATAGAAAAGAGTATTTACTCCCAAGATTTCTAAAGTGCGATCAGAAGTGCCATTTAATCATTGCTGAACAAGGGGTTGAGAAAGTTATTGAAATATAGAAGGATTAATCCAATATGACTTCTCCATCTAGAAATTTGATTGTGGCTTATTGTTTTGTCCAGACATCCAAGTGAAGTTTCTTTTCACACAAATTCCTTATGAAATCACAGGTAGTGAATTATCATACTCTTCACTGTGCATCCCTACAGTATATCACAACATAGCATCAAGTGAAATGATGTCAGCATCTCCTTCAAACAATGGTTTCCTTCATAATGTGCTTCACAAAGCGTTACTTAAATAAGTCATCTAATGGTACATCACAGATTTGTTTGTTTGCTGTTTTTATAGTCTACCATTATGCTATTCAGATTATCCAAAAGGCCATTATTCCTCATGCCAACTTTCAATGTACCTTATCCTCCCTATCAACCTCTCATCAGCCACTAGCCTCATATTTTGTTCATCTCAATTCCAGAATATTGTCTTAATGTGTAATTTATGTTTTTTAACTATTCCAAAATATAGAGTTATTTGTTCAGGGTATTTTGCTGTAATTGTAATAATAACAATGCCGTTTTATTTATTTGAAAGAAAGATATACTAACTGGACCATAGTTTGGGAGAAGACTAAAGCTTGATTACTGTCAATGAACCAAAGCAAATGGACAGCTTTGATAGAATGTGAAGAAGGTTCGATAGAAATCTCTTCTTGGAGTGTGTGTGAATGCAAGAAAACAAGTGATCAGAGAATTTATCCTTTGGTTATGATTTGCCAGTGATTTAAATCATGGCTTTGGAGCCTCAAGAGCATTAACTCTGTGTTGAAGTATATGAGATAATGACTTTGGGGCTCCAACCAGATAATATACATGTATGTTTATTATATAAGATAGAGTCCACTTCCAACATTGAAATAAAAATAGCAAACTGAGTACTTATTTCATCATTTTTTGTTGTCAATAGATGCTTGCAGCGAATGTATATTACTTTAAATTTAGGTCACCTTCATAATTTGTAATGTTTTTAAATTGTGTTTAAAAAAAAAGTGATGATGCTGATGAATTTATCCTGTACATTTCATTGCATATGAGCAAGTCTTCATAGTGCAATGCAAAAATGAATATAAAGAGAGACAGATCAGTGAATTTAGGGAAAGCTATTTGAGATAAGACTTCCATACTATGAAAGGCATAATGAGTGGGAATTTGCATTATATATTGGGTTTGGGTATAAAGGTAGGAAAGTATATAAAGAAGAAACAATTTAATGTCATTCAATTTCAAGGTTGTATTCGAGAATGTGAGTCTAAGAAAAATGATCACATCAATTATTATTAAAAAGTCCACATGAAATACTTCCCCAGGGTGTTGTCTGTCCATCCATCCCATCCCCCTCTTTAATAGTCTCAATAATTATTTACTTCGATTAGCAGAATGCATCATAAATCAATCATGTTGTTGAAACAAAGGTCGCAGGTCACACAGGTCATTTCACAGTATATATAAGCTAAGACATATTAGCAACATGACTACATGAGATCTTCAAAATGTAAGCAGTTTTTAATATGCACACTATTAAAGACCAATTTATTTAGTCACTTCCGCTAATATATCTTGATATGATGCATTTCGAGAATCAAAATATTCCAATTGATCTTTTTGACATAATGGGTGTATCTTATAATGGTGTATGAGAGTATCAGTAGTGTGATAATTGTTGACATTGATATTTCCATATAGGGACCAAAACAATGTCTTGAATTTTGAATAATAAAGTGTTAGGGATAAGAGAGATGTGGACAAACTTTAAGCCCTTTAAAGATACGATACATCTGCTGTTGAAATAGCAAGGTATTGTTTATTGCCTTGTTTGAACAGCTGGTCAAAATTGTATCAGTACTGATTATTAACATCTACATTGTAAAGAGGGGAAGCGTGTATGTGGATTTCAAAAGCTTCAGACCATGTACACTGGAGATCAACTCTCTCTTTCTTTTTCTCCCTTTTTTATTTGATCCCAAAACAAGCTCTGTGCTCGATGTCGGAATGTGATTAATTGTGGAATATTTCCAAAATTAGATAGATTCATAAATGATTATGGGTCGATGTAAAACTAAACTGCCAGAATAGAATTGCAAATATGATTGGAGGAAAAGTGAATCGATTAGTTGCTTGCCAGTAGCTGCTACCGTATTGCTATTTATTTGACAAGGATTGAGTTAAGAGTTCAATTCATTACTTGAGTCTCTATATAGCTATGGGACTGGAATCCTTTATCTTTTAAACAGTCAGGATTGTAATGATTTCCAGTGTTTATGCTGAGATTGCATTGTGATGCTGTTCCACACACATACACTGAATGCCTGTAAGTATTTGAGCAGAGTGAGAAAAGGAAACAAATGGTGTGTAACTAATAGACATTTGTATGCACAAATTGATGTGTTATTTTTATATGCTAGGTACAAGTAGTTAATTGCATGGAAATATACTTCTTCTTTGAATTTGAAGGAGAAATCATTGCGGAATGTGTTACAATCAATCCAATGTCTGTTGTGTATCAAGTCTATACAATTATTTATTTTTAAAATTTGATTCTGTTGTGTCTAGATATTGAAAGTCTTGGAGTGAACATATTCACCAAAGTGTAGCTCCCCCATGGCCCTCCCCCATGGCCCTCCCCCATGGCCCTCCCATGCTCTTTGCAATGTTTTGCACCATGTTTAGAAACCAAGTTTTACCCAATGGCAATACTCTTGTTTTAATTGTTTCATTCATTCTAGATATGAGAATGTTCTTCATCTCTCCAATTGTCTTACCTTTAGATGAATCTTTGAAGATGCCAGTCTTGTGTCTGGCCTCTGGCATAACCTAGTTTGTTTCTTGAAGTAAGAGGGAAGCCAAAGTTTTTCAAATGTCTTGTCATATAATATTATGTCCCTTTCCTGTGTCTATCTTGTTTGTTTTCTTTTCATTTGTTATCTAATAACGTGTGTGCGTGTTTTGTGTGCATGCTTGTGTGAACAACAGCACATGTTTGTGTTGTGCATATACCCATGTCCCTTTTGACTAAAGCACATTCATGTGGACCAGAATTACTAAAAAAATCAGTCAAATTACTACTGGTAACTATTTCAATGTAAATCATATTCTTTCTTTTTTTACTTTCTCCTATATGTTCACACAATTTTTTTTTAACAAAGTCAATAAAATGCAGAAGTGAATGTAGTTCAAGATTCTTGAAATATTTTGGCTTCCTGACAGTGTGAGAGTTGACAGCATAATATGAAGCTTGTACATTTCAGTGAGAATGAAAAACATATGATATGGAACGCTGCCTACTCTTACTAGTTAGTCACGTGTACATTTTTGCAACCTTTTTTTTCTGTTTGTTTGTATGGAAATCTCATGGAAACCTCAGATAGGATGACAACGTGTAGCAGTGCAAACCCCTCTTTTTGTCCTTGTATGTAAAGGCCTAAAAAAATGATGAGAATTAAAATGACAAAATTTGTCAGAACAAAATGATGGTGTATCTTTGTGTTTGTATTCGTGCTGAGAATAAACGTACCTACATTATTATGTGTGCATGCTTAAATATATCATCGTCACTAAGATTTGCAACAAACTTGTTGCAAATGTAAAGAAAACTAATAGTTATTTGTCTCCAGATTATCTGAAATTAGTTATGTGGAAGAACATTATTAGCTTAAAGTATTTGGCATCACCTAAACCTAGGAGGTGAAAAGCGAGATGAATCATTGTAACCTTCGGGTCTCCTCCCAGTAGGCCTATAGCTGATTAGGGGTGTGCAGGTGGACTACTACTGGGATTTCCCCCTACTCTTATACAAATAGTGCAGTAGATTCTTAACGTGCAAGGGTGGTGACGTGACTCTACACAAGGCATCCATTTAACGTCCTGGCTGTGAGACAGAGTGTTTTCCACTGTAACTTAAGCCTGTTTATGAAATGGGATGGCATACTAACACACGTCTGCCTGGGTTGGATTGGAACCCACAATCTTTGGTTCGACATGCAGACGCTTAACCAACTGGGCTAACTCACCCCTAGGAGGGAAGTAAAATTTAGAGAACTTAAAATGAGCGAGGTTGATTTCAAAACAAGATGTCACAAATAAAAATGATGGTGAGAAAAAGTTCTAGGAAAATTAATGACAAATCACAATGTCTTTATGTATTAATTATAATAGGATGCGTAAGTAGTAAATTGCTATTAACAGCAAGAACAAAAATGCAAAATCAAGATAAGTTCTGACTGAAAAATAAAGTTAGCTGAAAATTGGGACCCTTTCTTAATATATTTTTTAAAGTTTTTTTTTAATTTAAATCCCAGAGGTGCTCATTTTACTTCAACAAGTGCCCCTTCCTTTTCTGATAAGTGCCCCTTTTCATTTGTGAAGAGTGCTGCTTGTCACCTCTGATAAGTGCCCCTTTTTCTTTCTAATAAGTGCTCTTTTTTATTCTGATAAATGCCCCTTCCCTTTTTTTAAGAGCCACTTCCCCTTCTAATAAATGCTCCTTAACACCTCTGATAGATGCCACTATTAAAATCTCATAGGTGCCCCTTTTCCTTCGACAAGTGCCCATTTTCCTTTGTACTAAGTGCCCCTATTCATCTCGGGTGAGAGCCCTTTTTCAGGTACAAGAAGTGCCCCTTCACCTCCAATAATTGCCTCTTTTCAAATCTGAGAGGTGTCCCTTATATTTTGACAAGTGCCCCTTTTCCTTTGTATGCCCTCTTTTTCATTTGTATAAGGGCCCCTTTTCATCCCTTATCAGTGCGCTTATTCAAATTTGAGAGGTGCCCACTTTAACTCTGTAATAAATTCCCCTTTTCATCTCTGATAAGTGCCCCTTATCCTTACTAATTAGTGCCATTTTCCTTTTGATAATTGCCCTTTTTCCTTTGTAATAAGTGCCTTTCTCATATGTGCCCTTTTTCATCCCTGGTGAGGGCCCCTTACTAGGTGCAAGAAATGCCCCATTCTACTTTGAAACGTGCTCTTTTCCTTTCCTTTGGATGTGTTTCCCCCTGTTCCTTTCCCTAGAAAATGTGCTCCTAATTTAAAGCGACTAAGAGCAACTTTTTCTTGAATTTCACCCAAAGCTCGCTTGCTCGCATCTAAAGTTGATATAATATTGATGCTTATAAAAGATAATTGATTTTCTTTTTACTCTAAAAGTAAAGTTCGCTCGGGTACCTCTCTGCGTAGTTACTATAGTGTTAAGAGTAAAAGAGCGCCACCACTAAAGTCTTTCGTCTTACATTCATAATGTTCTGGATCGATGACGTCCGTAACATCCTGATGTATTTATAGGTATTACATCACGTCTCGATAAATATCGTTCTGTCCTTGTACTACATGCCTGTTTTTTTTCTTCTTGATTTTGTTAACGTCAAGTTGAAAAGATAGCCACATGACGTATACAGCAACAAGTCTCATTTGACGTTCCCTATTTTCAAAACAATACATGTAGAGCTTCTTCTGTTTCATTCAGTTTTATATGAGGGCATAGGCACGTACGATTATAATGGAGAAATAAACCTTTATTACGGATGAAAAGTAGATGCCTATATTAAAGTATAATAATAAACCCTGAACAATTTTTCCTGTCATTTTCCATGCTAAGGAACACTACCTATTGTCTCTGTCTACTACCCCCCCCCCCCCCATTTATTCCCCTTCTCTCTCTCTCTCTCTCTCTCTCTCTCTCTCTCTCTCTCTCTTTCTCCCATCCTTCTTCTTGTATGTTCTTCTATTTTTTTTCTCACTCTTTGAACTATATTCGATCCCCCAACAATACGAATTGCTCCTCAGCAAAACAATATGTATTTTTTGTTATACAGGGTCTACACTGTGTATCTGATAGTATCAAACATTAAGGTATAATACTCGAGAAAAATAACAACATGATGATCGCACACCATTACTGACACATACCAATATATAAATACATTTTTAGTATTATTACAGTTGATAAGTTTCTAAACAATGAGACTTGCGTAGCTCCATCTTGTGTTCAGTTTTGACATGATAAGCTATGAGGCCTACAACATTAGGACAACAATATGATTATTCAGACTTCGTAGCTGGAGGGGGGGAGGGCTTTGGGTCTGGCCCCATCACACGTTGCCCCCCCCCCCCCGCCCTCACGCCTCACACTCGATAGATGTCAGCTTCTTTTTAGGAAGTGCCCCTTTTCTGTTCGCATAAGTGCCCTTTTTCATCTCTGGTGAGTGCCCCTTATCGGGTGCAAAGTGCCCCATTTTCCACCTCTGATAATTCCCCTTTTTACTTTGACATGACTCTTTTTCTTTTCTAATAAGTGTCATTTTCCCTTTTGATATGTGCTCTTTTTTCCTTTCACCATAAAATGTGCTCATAATTTATAGCAACTAAGAGTAATTTTTTCATTAATTTCATCCAAAGTTTGCTCGCTCGCATTTAAAGTGATATAATTATGTTTCTTATAAAATATATTTTCAGTCTTTCGTGATTAGATTGTGCTTAGAACCCCATCATAATTTTTATTTCCCCTGTTTATTAGATGTATTTTTTTTTTGCACTATGACCTCACAAATCTGAACAGTTTGCTCGCTCGCAAATAAATATATTCACGATCACACCCAACTGCAAAGTATGATGTATGCAGTGCTTGTTACTTACCAAGATTGGGCCAAATTTATTATAGTTCGAGAACCTTGCATTACACATCAATACTTATATGCTACATGATCAACTTTTCCTGATCGATTCCACACCGCTCTTTCATAATACGATTGCATGACCAGAACTCAACTTTATCTTTAATCCTGCACCATGTAAAGAGAGAATCAAACATTGAAATCATCCCTGATAATGTAATTACAATGAGGTGGTATATGTCTAAAAATGACATATTTTCACTTTGAGGTTTCCCTTTGTAGATGCCCCTTTTTACGGAAATTGCCCCTTTTTGTAGGTCCCCCCCCCCCCCCCCACTTTGTAAGACGCTCCACCGCCCCTGGATAATGGGTGGGATATTAACTTATAATCTCATTTCTCAAAGTGCGAAGAACATTAAATTTGTTATAGTGGGTAGATGCAAAGTAGTCTAGCCTCAATAATCAACATAACAAAAACCAGTACGCCATAGCTAAAACGTAGTTTGTAGGCCCACATCTTGACCGCTATCGTCAATATCCGCATTCTCCCCATAAGAAAAGAACAACAAAACATTGGTCCATTATGCCACCTAGTGATGATACAGATTTGTTATGTGTGTGCACCCCCCCCCCCCCCAAGAAAAAAAAAGTTGTTTTCCTCATTACGCCACTGCTCCTTCCCAAAAACTCCACGGTATATGAAACGCCCAAAACCACGTCCCAACCTCTTCCCGTCCACACACAATCAACTTCATAATTCTCTCTCGATAGACGTCGATCGGCTATAGGATCCATCCCAAACTTTGTATCGTGTGCCGTGCACAATCGAAGTTTCGTCATTCGAAAACCTACCTCCAAGGTGACTCGACCGCGAAAAAATCACATCTTCTGTACAAAACTTGGAAACATAACAACGTAAAGACGAAAACATGGACATTAGATGCTAGAGTGAAGGCTCTCTCGAAGGACGATAGGAAGTAACATTCCACTGTGATAATGACATTGAAACTCTCTATATGTCCTCTTTGAGAAGAGCAACGCAGACTGTTGTCATGGGTAAGAAGTATACCTGTATAAAATGTTCAAAATCAGTATAACAATCAGAATGCGATATTATATTAATAGGTGGATTCATTAACAGTGTTCTTCTGTTGACATCAATTTTTTCAGTCAGATGCTGATTGGATATGGGACACTTGTTTATTTAGAAAATTGTATTTGGGTAGGAACACTACTTACTTTTTATGATAATGACAAACTAAACGATGTAAATAAAAATGGTTTGCCAATTAAGAAAATTGGAGTTCGTAAAAAAAAAAAAAAAAGTTTTACAATAGCTCAATATAATCATACGTAGTATTGGGACAAATCTGACAACAAAGATCTGTTGTTTAATAATCTTTTTTGATATACTAGGTTTATCGGAAGCTTGGTTTGAGTAATCACAGACTCTGAGCTTGAAAGAAGAGAGCTATAACTTTATCAGGTGGTGGTGTTGCTTGTTATATTAATTCGAATTTGATTTACGGCTGGAAGTAGAAATTTAAACCTTTTACAACTGTATAGTTTACCGTTGTTGTTTACTGACCTTCTAATTCTTCCACCGACTTCTTTTCTAAAGCAGAACTCCAATGTGTAAAAAGCTTTACATTCGACATTTATTGCTATTGGCCTTGGAGATTTCAATTGTAATATTCTCACTGGGAACACGTTGTCATTAAAATTGAAAAATATGTACACGTACCTGCAACTAAATCAAATATAGTTAACGAACCAACTATAGATACCAAATAATAGCAGAATATGCATTGATCTGAATTTACTTCCCTTGGAGAAGGACAATTCCATTACGATATG